AGAAGCATTTAATTTTTTCCTCCTCTTAATTCTACTTTATCCTTTTTGTTTAACAGCTCAAGTCTGTGAATATTTCCCCAAGGGTACCATGATATCAAGATATGGCAGTAAGACTTAAACACTGGCTATCAGGCTATATACCCGGTTAACCCACACACACTATTAGCTCTGCTTTAAGTAGCATCATAATATTTCACAAGAATACATTTTACTTTAGACCCTATATTGTGAGTTAGAGGATTCTAGTTTCTACAAAAAAACTTATTTACAATAATATGGCAAAAAGGCTTTAAAGGTAGCTTGTAGAATTAAAAAAAGAAAAAAAACACAAATTCTGCATTTATATTAATACATGAAATAGATTCTTAGATTCTTACAATGTCATGAGGTAATAGGAAAGTTTATTTCTCATATTTTTTCATAAACTCAGTGCTGGAGAGATAGGATTAATACATTTAGGAAAAGGAAATTAAGGACATCCAATTAAATTTCAATTTTAATTAAAAAATTTTTTTTAGAGTAAATACTAAATACTTTGTAAGAGTAAATATTTCTCAAGCATCATATACTTAGACTGAAATATCCTTTGTTATCTGAAACTGAAATTTAACTGGGCATTCTTAAGAAGTGACTTAACTAAGGTCATAGCTTAAAACCTACATCTTCTGACCAACACCACCATGTAGAGTTATTGCAAGTACTTTTCATTATATTATCTCATCGATCACAACTCTCAGGGGATAAACTGAAACATTTGTTGTTGTTCTTTAGTCACCAATTCATGTCTGACTTTCATGGCCCCATGAACTGTAGCCCACCAGGTTCCTCTATCCATAGGATTTCCCAGGCAAAATTACTGGAGTGGGTTGCCATTTCCTTCTCCAGGGGATCTTCCCAACCCAGGGATTGAACCTGTGTCTCCTGCATTAGAAGGCAGATTCTTTACCACTGAGCCACCTAGAAAGCCCCAAGATTTCAGTTTCCCAACCAGGGATCAAACCTGGGCTATCCAGTGGCTCAGTATCCTAACCACTAGGCCATCAGAGAACTCTAAAATTGAAATGTTAGTGCTCATATTTATTTTTAGATTTGATGACTAAGGCTTAGAAAATTTAGAAGACCCATCTAGTTTTTCACAGTTAGAAAGGAGATCCTAGCCTGAGGTCCAAATCTTGCCATGTAAAATCCAATTAGGTAATAGCTATTCTATTTCAACTCACAAGTAAGATAATTAAAAATAATTAAAGGCTATTTTGACCTTTGCTTTAACTGACAGTAATCAGGGATGAGCTGTTCCAAATTATTTTGTTCAGTATCAAAATGGAAAGACTAACTAATCAGAGAGGAAAGTATGGCTTACTGAGAAATTTTAAAAAATCCTTCATTTTAAAAACTCTTTAAACCTGAAAGACATGTAAAATGTGTTGAAAGCATGCCTTAGCATACACAGAAATATAGAGGTCCACTTTTAAATTATAATAATGTCTTAGTGTCTTTGCTAAAGACATTTGATTCTATTAGAACATTATTATCATGAGGAGCAACTCATTAAGCCTTAAAAAAGACAAAAATCCTGCCATTTGTGACAACATGAATGAACCTGAGGAATATTATGCTAAACGAAATAAGCAGGCACAGAAGGACAAGTACTACATGGTTAGGTACTTAGAACAGGTAACAGGAGTCCAAAATGGTGGTGGCTAAAAGAAAAAGAAAAAAATGGAACAAAAATGGAACACAAGAAAATCCGAGGACCAGACTGAGAAACTCAGGTGAAACAAATAGCCCTCCTGGCTAGCCCAACTTACACAGGGCAGGCTCAGGGGGAGGAGAAAAACCATATAAAAAGAGGAGCCAAGATCCAGCCGTCTCTTCTTTTGGGTCAACCACCCTCATGCCTTGGGAATGTATTTTCCTTTGCTTGCCAAATAAAACTGAGCTGTAACAGGGAGGTAACACTGGTCTGTCATTTCAAATTTTTGCTGCAGTGAGACAGAACCGAGGAAATAACACTCACCCCTGATAATAGGATATCACTTACATGATGAATCTAAAATAATCAAACTTATAGAAGGAAGTAGAATGGTGGTTGCCAGGGGAAAGTACGAAGTGGGGAAGTATCAGTTAAAGAGTACAAAGTTTCCGTTATACAAAGCCAGTGAGCCCTAAAGATCTTCTGTATAGCACAGAACCGGAAGGTAACAATATTGTATTGTACACTTAAAACTCTGCTAACAGGGTATGTTGGGCTGTGTTCCACAGGCCTGCAGCTTTAAGGCTAAAGAGCCTGGAGATAGTGACAGAGACATCAATGGTTTAAAGGACTGGGGGATCTTATGGGTCTGAAGCAAGGCCCTGAAGCAATACTCCACTATGTGTGGCTGCTGGTGGGCAGAAATATAGCCCACTCTTAGCTGGAAGTGGAGAGTGGGGAGGGAATGAGGGAAGGAAGGAGGGGAAGTTTCCAGTTATAGGGAGAATTGACACTGATCTCAGCTTAGCTCATAGGTTACCAGTGAAAGCAGCAGAGAGCATGCCCCTCACTGCACTTTGATAAGCTCTCAGGTAGTGATGTTCTGATATAAGGCTTAGAATAATCACAAGCTGGGGCTGGGAGCAAGTATGTAGGCATTTATTGATTAGGTTCTACCTATTATTAAGAGTGAAGGTCAGTCAGTGAATAGATTGTAGCTGAAGCAGGGACTAGTTGAGTGGGGATGGATAGAGAAAAAGAGAACAGTCATCTTGGCTGCTCATTCCTCCCTCCATACAGGCTAGATATTATATTAAGTGTTTTTATAACACAAAATATAATAATAAGTAAGAGAGTAGGAGGAAACTTTTCCAGATGATAAATAGGTTGATGACACTGATTGTGGTGATGGTATCACCAATGTATACTTATCTCCAAATTCATCCAGTTACATATGTTAACTATGTACAGCTTTTCACATGTCAAAAAAATTTTTTAAGTAAAAAAGCACCTCAGCAACAGACTCAATAAATAAACTCAATGAAATTTCACTGAGTGTATTCCATAGCAATCAAGAGGGCCATTATGAGACTCAGAGATGATTTGTTGAGTCAAATCTTAAAAAACATGGTATTATATAGGAAAGCCGAGGGTTGCTTCCACAACTAACGTTCTGGGGGGACCATATGGATTCAGCTAAACTAAATCTTTATGGAGTGTTTCCAAGATAAAAGTGGACAAATGTCAACATGTTAGGAAGTATATGATTAGGATTAAAAAAAGAAATTAAAGCCATAATCCCTCAATTAGCATTCAAAAGAAAATTTATTGGTGATTTATTGGTATGCTTAAAAGTTAACTACTTGTAAAGACTCATCTTGGAAAAATGTACATACTAGGATCTATCTTTCCTCCTACCTCTTGACCCCAATGTTATCTCTCCCTTTCTTATACAATCTTTCCTTCCACTCTCCTTCCTATTTCTCTCTTATAATAATGTGTGTTCTTTCTTTTGCAGCATTACCAACTTCCCTGTAGTTCTGGGCTCTAGCTTGTTCATTATTATCATATTTTCTCTTACTTATCCTTTTCCTCCTATCCTCAGCTGCTCATAAATGGAATTCTGTATTGTGTTAATACATTTTAAAGCTACATAATGCTCTAAGTTATTGATAAATATAAACAATTATATTCATGTACTAGTGTTATTGTATACTAATTATAATTATAAATGTACTTTTATAAGACCTGCCATAACATTAAGGTTTATTATATTAGGTTTACTATGTACATGAGCAATAAATGCATTTTTCTTTATATTACATAGGAAAGTTTTCAAATTCCTGATATATGATATTGAACATATTAGTAACGTAAGAGTATTTTAGAAGAAGTTTTGTATTATACTGAACAGTATTTCCAAGTAGAAAATTCATCTATTATAGCAAGCTATGTGCTATCTCCCTGACATCTGATATTGTTTACATTTCAGTAATGCATGACTTTTTTTCAACAATGAAATACCAGTACGCCTTTCCTAGCCCACTGGATTTCTGCAAACAGTAGTTGTCAATGATCTTACTATCTGGCACTTATTGCAATAAGTTATATATCTTTACCTAATTTTCGAGCTATTTAGTTTGATGATGCCCACATATTTTTATTCACAAAGACATATTATCTAATTCTATTTCAGCCCCGTTTCACTGTTGTGACTTTCCATTGTTAACAACTCTAATGTTAAGTGTTTAAAAAATGCAAGTCTAAATAAACTCTCATATATGCTGTGTTTTTTAAAGCCTAATGACCTAGTATGTATCCCATAACTCAGTCACACTTTGAGGAAGAAAATGCGTTTGTGCTTGTCAGCTTGCTTGGAAAGGTGGAAAAGCTAAAAGTACCAACAGACATTTCACTTAAAGTCTTTTCAATAGATTCTCAGTATTTGCTAGTGATTAATCTTTCATTTTCATTATAAATTCTTTCCTCTTAAACTTTTATATAAGAATAAAGGACATTACACAAGGATTTATTCTTGTTAATTTGTAAAATATGTTCATCTTCTCATTTTAACAAATCTACATTCACTGATTAAAGAAAAGCATCAATACTTTTCATATAAACACACAGACTTAAAATCTGGAAAGGGATCTTTCAATTAGTTTCTAAAATTTCTATTCAGTTCTCTAATGTGATTCATAACTTGGTCCACGCTATGCATTTGGAGTCTTAGAACTGTTTTAAGATTCATGACAACCTCCTGTTCCAGGTCCACAGACACCTGCTCACAGTCTCAATGGCAGCACAGCCTGATTTCACATAACAATGGTTCCAGCTGCTTCTCAGGTATGTTGACTTAAAGTGATTTTGGTAGTTAAAGTGCCATGGAAGGAGCAATGTCTTTTCTTACAAAACCCATGTGATAACCATCTTTTACCAAATAGGAGAAGGTAACAGTGTTCTCAAGAAAAACTAAGTCTAGTATTTACAATTTTACTTGATACCTATTGAATCACCAAGTACTTACCTGGATAATATCGGGCCAGGCCTGTAGCACTGCCAAACACCTGCCACAACAATGAAGGATCTTCTTCTCGATTTTTCTTGAAAACTTCATCTAAGGCACTTGTCCAGTTGAGTTCATTTAATACAATTGTTGCTACCAAAAGTGAAAGAATGGAAAAATCAATCAATTCAAATTTGTAATTGGTAACTGAACCTGTTTTCATATATGTGCACAGTAATATTATATATATTTCATTGCTTTATCTATAAAAGCACTCTGATCTGGTGGTAATCAAAAAGTTTAGACATGGAATCATTTCTTCAAACAAATGTTTATATGATGGTGGCCCTACTGACATTTAGGGGCTGGGTGACTTTTTTGTGGTGGGAGTTGTTTTGTGCTTTGCAGATGTTTACAAGCATCTCTGGCCTCTACACCCTAGATGTCAGTACCATGTTTCCGGTTGTGATATGCAAAACTGTCTATAGACATCATCAGATAAGCCCTGGGGAGCAAAATTACTTTCTGCTGAGAACCACTGTAACACATAAAACAGGCAACTGTCAAGCACTGCTGGCTGAGAGGTGGTGGGAAGCATTCCTCCAATTGAGGCAGTTCTGAAGAAAACTACAGGACACCTTAGGACACAGTTTGATGACTACTTTCCTCAACTGTTGATGAGTCTCTGTGATATACTAACGTGGCCTGATCTGTTACTTGAGTTAAAAAAAAAAAATAGATGTCTGTCATTGAGCATAGCTTATTAACTATATTTCTGTAACAACAAAAATGCATACATGTTGATAAAGAAAAACTCATTCAGAGGCTTGACAACATCAATAATAGAAGTAAGATGTAGCTGATACATTATCACTAGCTTTATGAACAATAATTTTCTTTTTTCTGGTTAGTTCAACTAACAGTTAGAGTGTGGTGCTAACAAGGGACAGGTCATTGATTTTGATACCTACTTATACCAACTGACTGATCCTGCATAGGTATCACAAACATATGCCAGTCATTATAATGAAAGACAAACAATTATAATGTAGGATATAACATGGGCTAAATATAGTTTATATTTATGGCTCTCCATGATCATAGCATTCTGTCTAACATGATAAAAATTTAATCGGCTTGGAATATTATTTTCCCTTTACACAAAAAAGATGACATACAAGATAACCTCATCTTTCTTGGAAGGTCTTAATATATGTAAAATATGCACCATGCCCTTAGCAAATTAGCAGATTGGAAAGCTTGCATTTGAGAATATATGTCCAAGCGTAAATAATGGACATTAGCTTGGGATAATGACTAGAAATACTACTTAACTTTTTTCCATTCATTTCTATGACCACAGTAAGTAAAAGAACCAAATACAATCATGGTTAAAACATATGCAAGATGTTTTGAAGATAAAAGAACAAACACCTTCTTTCAAGAAAGATGAACAGCATATGTGTTTGTATTTTAAGGTTTATCATTCACCCAAAATATGAAAACAAGCATACTGCAAATTGTTCTGGGACCAGCATCCTAATGCATTTCTCATTATCGGAAACTAACGAGTTTCCCATCTTTATGGATGTGATTACCTTCAGAAAGATCAGTTGTATGTGTAAATATTCATGAGTTGGGTCAGATCCATAGCACATCTGAGACACTAGTGAATTCAAATTCAAAAGCATGATCCAATGAACACTGAGTGACCAGTTATATGAAAATTTATATTCACATAGATAACCTAAACTAATACTCACTATCCATGAATATTTATGGTACCACACAAAATAGCACAGAAAAAGAGGGACATCCTCTACCTTTTTTTTAAACATTTATGAATTAGACAGTTATATTCTACTCAACAAAATAATCATGTTTATTTATGTTCTAGATACTTAAAATAGATTGGGGATTAATGAAGTCTGTTTCTTCAGTTTCCTTGGTTCTTTAATTCACATTAATAACAACTGAGATATAATTATTTTTAATAAATATTTCTTTGTTTTCAGAGTCTTACTCAGTTTTACTACCTAACAACTACTAAGTATTAGGCTCTGATACACTGATAATGAATTATACTTTTATGTATTTGAGGAAAAAGTCAAACTCTGAAATGTTATCATGTGATCTGTTTTAAAATAGTAGTTTATATGTTTGAAAATTCTTTTTCAGATAAGACACTGCAAATGATTTCCACAAAAGCTGTTCATATGCAAATGAACAAAGTACATAAAGCTTTTTCAGAATACACACCTGAAGTGATTTACTCAGAATGAAAGAAATGGCACTGTGCACTTATCAAATAAGCAAAGTTTATAAAACTTGATGAGAACGTGTAGCAAGAAAGCTGCATTTGCTGCTGTGTATTTATAAAGACTCGAGTGCAATCATTATTCTTGTGGCCACAATTTTTATTTGAATGTCTTTCATAAGGAAAAATTCACAGGATCTGCCATAGGAGTACAAGATTAGTGCAGAGGAGAGTCTGGCAAACACTGTCTATCAAAATGTGTTAATCCAACACTTCTATCTGAAAGAATTTATACTATGGGGAGATTACAGATATTCAGTCCTGAGGCAGAGAATTTTAGACCGAGAATCATTCTTTCAATTATTATACTGTACAAATTCCTTAAAACAGAAAAATAAATTTCTGCAGCAGGAAATATTTTTTCTCAAACTACACTGGAAACCAGTTAAAAATGCAAAAGGTGACATGTAAAATATAGAAGCAAACAAATAAGTATGAATCCTCTTTTATATCCATCTTGGGTAGAAGGAAATGGCAACCCAGTCCAGTATCCTTGCCTGAGAAATCCCATGGACAGAGGAGCCTGGCAGGCTACAGTCTATGGGGTCACAGTTGAACAAAACTGAGCAAATAACATAATAACCATGTATTACTTTGGCATTCTATAATAAGTAGATTTTTACCTTCTTAACCTTGTAAAAACGAAATACTTAATCCACAAATTACTAAAGTGCCCAACATTTCCCCAATTCTATGTTATCAGCATAACTATGGAAAAACAATACTGAAGTAACTGGGTCATTTGCAAATGATGGCAAAATAAAACTAACGCAGAACACTGGCAATGCTGAAACTTTTCAAACACAATTATTTTTTCTATAAAGCATGATCTTTATATAAATATCCAGAGCAAGAAAGCAAGATATAGAGGATTTTACCTAATTGCATAAATATTGATATAAACTAGTAGCTCACCAATATTTTATGTAATAGCTCCCGAATAAATGATCTTTCCAAAAGCCCTTGAAATACTTCTTGTCCACCAATAAAACTTAGCTTTCTATTTGGACAGGTATACTCAAGAACATAGGGAATAGTTCTGATTGGTTTTCCATAAAGCATTTAGCAGTCTTTAAAATTATATTGTATTTTATTTTCTCAATTATATACTGGATATGTATGGCCTTATTTAATATATAGTGTATTCTATATGCACCCACACCTTTCTTATCTGCCTCCAAAAGTAGTAGTGATGTTTTACATTCACACATCCAAATTTCTAACTTCTTTCTTGAATTGAGTACATGGATGTACACAGAAATACATGAGTGACTTATGTTATTTTTCACTGTGTAAGACATACTGGCCAATCGTGATCTAGCCTTGAACCTGCTGCCAATTTCTAATGAACTTAGTTGTCTTATGGCTTCTTTAGGAGTAACATGAGTACTGATTTTCTGTCAACTTTTAAGAAATGAAGATTTTTATCTTTGTTTGAAAATTAGAGTTTGTGAAAATAAATCTTTCATAGATATTCAAGGCTAAGTTTATTAAAATCAATGAATGCTGGGAAAGCAAACCTTGACTTTGGGGCCTCTAATCTGAATGGTATAAAAGGATTTCACTGCTAATTGATTCAGAAAGCCAAGCATATGTTTCTTTCTATTCTTCTTATATTTAGTTTTCAAAAACACGGCCTTGGTGTTCAGCAATTCTCTCTTGTAGAGGATTCTTTTGTTCAGTTTGGCTTCTCAAGGGAAGAAAGGAAAATCTAATTTGTAACAGCATAAAAAAAGGACCTTACATTTGCTGCTAATCTAAAATACGTGACATATCTGTGTCTTGTTTATGACATTACTGTGGAATCGTTAACAAGTTTAGAATCCAATTTTCTCGTGCGAACTTCAGCCAAGAAGTACTCCACTATTGCTCCCACTTAAGTCTGAATACATTTTGTTGACTTATTCAGGATTCTGGGCCTCACCATGTATTGAAGGCACTATATAACTATTTGAAAAACCTTAAGATTAATATCAACTATAGCTTTGAAATGAAGCAAAAATATGCTAGAAAAAAGAAGAGAAACAATTTTTATGATTTACTTAAAATATAAAATAACTTTGATAAGTATGTATCACAAATATACTTTATAAAACATAAAATACATTGGCAGGTCTTTCCTAAGACTTGTAAATCCTAAAGTTATATAAGGGTATGGATAGTAACAATTATTTTTAACAATACTAAATATGATACAATTAAATAATTTAAAAAAGAGAACTGTCCAAAATGTTTACTACACTATTGCCATTTAATCATACCATTATCATAGACTTGTACTAAGATAAAATTAGCATGTATTATTTAAACTATTTCCACTGATAGTAACAAAGTCAGTAATACTGTATTAAGAGCAAGCAGATAAGTTAACTATTTTCTATCCACAATCACATTTTACTAAAAATGACACTTGAAACAAGATACTATTAGGTTGGTACAAAAGTGTGGTTTCAGAGCATGAATGTTAAATCATTATAACTAGGCTCAAATATATCTTCATTAATCAAAATAGGAACCATTAAAATCAACATTTTGCCAATGAAAAATAAGTTTGTTTTCTCCTATAGCACAAAAACTTGTGCTTCAGGATTTGATGAACTCTTGGAAAGCACTGTCTTCCTCCTGCTGGTTATGGAAGCAATTCTCCCTGCAAACAGTTTTGGAGATGCTTGAATGAGTTGGTGAGAGGTCAGGTGAATATGGCAGATGCAGCAAAACTTTGTAGCCAATTCATTCAGTATTTGAAGCAACTGGTTGAGCAATGTGTGCTCAAGTGTTGTCATGGAAAAGGACTAGGCCCTTTCTGCTGACCAATGTCAGCTGCAGGAGTTGCCGT